GAAGACATGAAACAACCACCACCACCATCCCCAGCCACGTGCCTTTCCAGATGTGCTTACATTTGGGGTTTCTATGAGTCTTCTAAGGCCTGAGCAGAGTTCTGAGGCACTGCTTCCCTTCTTTAAATTTTATTGCTGTTCTTAGCTGCCGTCCAGTCAGCCCAGAGTCATTAAGACACGCATGTCTCTTTTCTGAGTCAGGTAGAATGTTATCAATTCCAGCTGGAGGAAAGATAAGCTTGTCAGACTAGAATGACAACGTTGGGGAAAATGGAGTTTTCTGACTGGGCTCCCACTAGAGGACGTTTGGGCCTTCCGTGGCTACATCTCAGGGCACATGCCTCGATTTTCTGTCGCCCCTTCATAGCAAATTACTAACAGCCACATTCTCTCCAGCCAGAATGCTGAATACGAACCTAGGAATGAGTGTGTATGAGAACTAGAAATGTACACTGGTGTGTAGCATGGCCTCAGACAATTTAGGAGTACTTCATTATCACTAAAATGCCGCCTCTGTTATGAGACCCTGGGGCCTACTCCTAGCTTCTTCGTTCACTCTCTGGTTGTTGCAGTATTTCCTTCTCTCTGTATCTCTCTATGGCTCATGACCGCCCCGTAGCTTCCAAGGAAGTTGTAAACTGTCCATATGCCTGGCTTCTGGCTCAAGTAAAACAGAACCCAGGCTGCGTGTTCAACTCTTCAAATCCACTTCAGTAGACAAGCTCCTTTTCATGGGGACTGGGCCAGGCTTTCTGCCTACGGGCTTGTGTTCACCTTTCATCTAGGCTTCTGAAAAAGTCTAATCTGGGACTCAGAACATGTACCACCATGTTGTTGTTGTTAAGTGCCATCGAGTCGGTTTCGACCCAATAGCAACCCTGGATAGGGTTTCCGAGGAGCAGCTGGTGAGCTTGAACCACCAACCTTGCAGTTCAAACGGCTTTGCAGTCTGGTGCATTAACCCACAGCACCACACCATGACTCCATGTACCCCCATGTTGTTGTTGTTGTTGTTAAGTGCCATCGAGTCGGTTCCGACCCATAGCGACCCTGTACAGGGTTTCCGAGGGTGTTAATCTTTACGGGAGTAGAAAGCCTCATCTTTCTCCCGCAGAGCAGCTGGTAGTTTCGAACCGCTGACCTTAAGGTTCGCAGCCCGATTCGTAACCACTACGCTACCAGAGCTCCCCCCTCCCCATAGTTACTTATAAATTCGTTAGCTCAATTTATCACCATAACCTTTTAATATAGAAAGCAATATTTTCACTACACCAGAGCTGGTCCAGAAGTCAGCTGAGAGAAATCATCCATTTTCAAGGGTTATTTATTTACCTTTCTATTTAAAAGATTCTATACCAGTCTTTATTTGCCTATGCCCCCAAAGCTCAGACTTCATAGCAAAATACTCACATTCACTATAAATCTCATCATTCTTCAGAGATTCTGGAGTCTTGACACTATCTGGTCATACACCTTTTAAAGCAAATAGGTCATTCACATGGCTCTAAACTAGATGTTGGCTCAGTGGTAGAATTCTCGTGCTCCACGTCGTAGGTCCGGGCTCAGTCCCAGACTGATACACCTCACACATGACCATCACCTGTCTGTTACTGGAGAATTGAGCATTGATGTGACACAGAACAGGTTTCAGTGGAGATTCCAGACTAAGAAAGACAAGGAAGAAAGGTCTGATGATCTACTTCTAAAAACCAAGCAGCAAAAATCATAAGGATCAAAGTCATTGGCTCCTGCAAACCGAAAGGTCCATGGTTCCAGCCCATCAGCTACTCCACAGGAGAAATAGGATGCTTTCTGCTTCCGCACAAGTTTAAAGTCTCAGAAATCCTATACAGGGTCACTATGGCAGCAGGATTGGAGGAAGACTCATGAACAACCTGCAATATGCAGATGATACAACTTGCTTGCTGAAAGCGAATAGGCCTTAAAATACTTACTGATAAAGGCTAAAGATCTTTAATACGGGATGCATCTCCATGTTTTAAAAAAAAAATCCTCACCACTGGACCAAGATAATGGAAAAAAGATTGACGTTGTCAACGACTTCATTTTGCTTGGATCCACCATCAACACTCATGGAAATAGCAGTCAAGAAATCAGACAACTTGCATTAGGCAAATCTGCTGCACAAGTGTTGAAGAGCAAAGATGTCAGCTTTAGGACTAAGGTGTGCCTGACCCAAGCCATGGTATTTTCAATAACCTCATATGCATGCGAAAGCTGGGCAGTGAATAAGAAAGACCATAGAAGAATTGATGCCTTTGAGTCATGATGTTGGAGAATATTAAAGATACCATGGCCTGCCAGAGCACAAACAAATCTGTTTTGGAAGAAATACAACCAGAATGGTCCTTAGAAGCCAAGATGACCAGACTTCATGTCTCATACTTTGGACATATTATAAGTAGGGACCAGTCCCTGGACATCGTGCTTGGTAAAGTGGAGAGTCGATGAAAAAGATGGAGACCCCCAACAAGATGGATTGGCACTGTGGCAGCAGCAATGGGCTCAAACATAACAATGATTGTGAGGATAGTAAAGGACCAGGCAGTGTTCCATTCTGTTGTGCATAGGGTCACTGTGGGTTGGAAATGACTGGACAGCACCTAACAATGACAATATGAGTTGGAAACCTGAGGGACAGCACTTAACAACAACAGTGACCAAGAGGATGGTACACAACTGGGCAGTGTTTCATCCCATTGTGCAAGGGGGGTCACCATGAGAAAGAACCAACACCGTGGCAGCTAACAATGTAACAAACCAGATGACAGGGTCTCAAGAAAAGATTCACTTTGACATAACTCCCTTGTAGACAAAATCTATCATTCCATAACAAAAAATAATTGTCAAAGTGCAAATGATCCTTGGCAGAAAGAAACACTTTAGGCATGCATGGAAAATGCTTTCCTGAGGAAGTTTCTGGAAAAGGGGTGGGAAAAGAGAGAGAATTTGGGGGCTTGTTGGAGTGGTAGGGAAGAGACAAGGCTGTTGCAATTGAGATGAGAGAGGTAGGTTTGTTCTGGATGTTGTGTTTGCTGCTGGGTGAAGTGACAGGCTTTGTCTCTACTGAAGAAGTCTTGTGCACATTGAGAGGTGAGCAGGGCATGCCCACGTAGGGGCTGCAGTTGGGGAGACACCTGAGGGACGGTTTGAGACGCGTGGACAGGCTGTCAAAGAGTTGTTATTGTTGTTACTTTTGTTTGTGTTTTTAAGTGCCTCGAGTCAGTTCCAACTCATCATGACTCTGTGTAGGACAGCTGGCCGGTTTAAACCACCGACCTTGTGGTTAGCAATCCAGTGCTTATCCTACAGCGCTACATAAGGAGTACTGTTAGTTAATGTCACATCGGCCCAAC